CCCCCACCGCATCCCAAAACCAGCCTAGCTCGTCCCCGCCTCCCTAACCTGTTCTTCCTCCCACCTATCCCCTCCTCCCACCTCAAGCCGCACCCCCATTTCCTACCTACTAATCTCATCCCGCCCCCTTGACCTGTCCGTCCTCCCTGGACTGATCCATCTCCTCCCTTCCTCCCTACCTACACTCACCTTTACTGGCTCCATCCCCGCCTCTTTGACCTGTCTGTTTCCTCTCCACCTATCTTCTCCTCTATCCATCTTCTCTCCGCCTCCCCGTCTCTCCCTATTTATTTCGGAACCCCCTTCCCCTCCCCCATTTCTGATGAAGGGTCTAGGCCCGAAACGTCAGCCTTCCTGCTCCTATGATGCTGCTTGGCCAGCTGTGTTCATCCAGCTCTACACCTTGTTATCTCAGATTCTCCAGCATCTGCAGTTCCTACTATCTCTGAATCAATATTGAGTTTAACAGTTTCAGAGCACAGGCATCTCCTTCCTTGTGTATTAGCTACCCGCCACTACCGCAGGTCCTGTCCTGAAGTAGGCTGTTTTCCTACAGCCAACCCATTTTAAACTACTCATAGTCCCCATTAGCTACCCCTGGTTTACTATCAACAATCCCCTTGTCTGACATTTTTTTCTCTTTCTCTCTGTGGGCTCTGCCTCCACCTATCCATTCACTCCTTTCTACCCGTTAATCAGCGTAAATACTATGTTTCTCGACCTGCTTCTAGTTGTGAAGAAGGGTCACTGCACTTGAAACTCTGTTGTCACTCCACAGATGCTGCTGATCTGCTGCATTTTTCCAGCAATTTCTGTTTTTGATAATTCTGCTGTATAACAGACCTGCTTGTTCTTTGACTGCTTGTCCACGTTACATTAATAATCTATGATTGAATCAACGCTCTATTGGAAAGCTTTACAAGTTCGGTTTTTTGGCCTTTACAATGCAATTTGCCTAGCTCAGCAGCAAAAAAAAAGACATCTGGAAGCAGCAGATCATCTCGAGTCTTGGACTCATGGGAGATTTTTTAAAGTAGGGTGTGGTGCTGGGAGCCACTAAAGCTTTCCAGGCGCTGTACTGGTGGGTATGAATTTTTCAAACAAGCTTGAGCAAGTTAGACAGCCGTGCTTGGATTAATCATTCACTCTTTCAGTGAATTTACCTCCTGGCTGTGTTGATATGGGCTAATTGTTCTCCACTTCTCTCCCTCTTGTTTCTCGACCCATTGTTGGATCAACTCTGCAAACTGAGGCCCACTTTACAGTCACCTTCACGCTAAGTGCCAGCAGGAAATAAACAGGTTTTCCCCTGTATGGGAGTGCTGCCTATGATTACCAACTATCCACCTTGTTCATTTAAATGGCTGCTAGGAATCAATGAATGGCATCTCACAGTTTAAATGGCTATGAAATTTCTTTTAATAGCCATTGAGAGATTGAGGATGTATCTGTTAGTCTCCTGGGGTTAGCAACACTACTATTTAGAGCAGTGAGTTTTGTATTACATTGCTGTTTTAATGATCAGTAATCTACAATAGATGGGTGTTTAAATAATTAAATTTTGCCAATACTGTAGTATATGTCGTTAAAGTAGGGATCATGTTTTAGAATAGACTAAAACCCGCCTTTGCAATCTGTATGTTTCTAGCCCAGCGGGAAGAACATTGCTGAATTTAGTTCTGGGAGACATGTGGTATCTGTAACCATGTGAGAGTGGGAGAACAAGTGGGAAACATCAAGTAGTTCAGTTCAATGGAAGCATCAACAGAAAATTGCAAATGTTGCACCCTTGTGAAGAAGATAAGCCCAGTAACTGCAGGCGAGTCAGTTTAACCTTTGTGGTGGGAAATGATTATTCTAGACAAAGTATTGATTATTTGGGCAAACATAGATTAGATAGATAGAAAGCCAGCACAAAACTGTTTAGGGCAATTTGTGTTTAACTAACTTGCTTGAGCTTTTATCTGAAGTAGCAGGAGGTTGTTGGGGGTAATGCGGTCAATGGTGTACATGAACTTCCAAAAGGCATTTGATAAAGTGTCATACAACAAATTTGTTAGGGAAATTACAGCTCACAAAATTAAACAGACAGTAGCAACATGGATACAAAATTGGTTCAGTGACAGGGAATACAGTATATGAGAACGGTTGTTTTCATTTTGACTGGAGCAATGTTGATAGTGAACTTTCTCAAGGGTCATTGTTCATATTCCTAATGTTCCATATATATTAATGTTTTTTCATGGTATGTGGGCATCGTTGATTAAGTCAGTCTGGAGTCCTTGAGGTGTAGGGATACCCACTGTGCTGTGGGAAGGCAGTTAAAGATTTTGACCCAGTGACAACAAGGAAAGGCTGAAGGTGGTGGATGTGATGCCGATCAAGTGGGCTGCCTTATCCTTTATGGTGTCAAACTTATTGAGTGTTGCAGTTTTACACAGCACCTTCATAAATCTGGAGCATATCTAAAATCTGACAAGTCACTTGTGGTGAGGAAGTCAAACCATACCCCCTTTATCACAACAGTAATTGTGATTTAAATGTCCACTATTTTGACAGTTCCTGTGAAAGTTTAACAATGTAAGAAAAGTGGGCTCAGGTATTGGGTGGATAGAGCGTCAAGTGAGTGGGGTGCCAAGTGTGTTGGGTGCCAGTGTTTCAGGGTTGTAGCGTCGCAGTCAAGTAGGGTGGTACCGTGCCAGAAACCAGGTTTGCAAGGTACTAGGTCAGTAGAGTGTCAAATGGATCAGGAACCAGTTGGATTAGGTGCTAGGGAGCAAGATGGGTACGGTGCCAAGTAAGTGAAGGAATATCTATGCTATGTTGGGGCAGGTGAGGTGTATCAGACCTGGCAGCATGTAGGAAAAGTGCTACTGTGTGTGGTGGCAGGCTTGCCAATTGCCATGCTTGGATCCTTGGGAGCAGCTGTGTGTGTGTGTCCGTGTCCGTGGATCCGTGTGTGTAGCTATGCAGCTCAGAGGGAACTTTGGTGGCGGGGCTTGGGATCAGCATTCCCAATCTTTTTTTTTCTTCTTATGTGCAGACCTCTGAGGTTCGTGTGTGGCAGTGACTTGTAGAAGTGGATTGTGCATAGACTCTTGGAACGGCTGCCTGCAAGTGCAGCCAGACAACTGGGAGGGAATATTCTCTGGGACATCAGATCTGGAGGGAAGGCGAGGTACATTAGGTCCAGTGTCTGCTACAAATGTGTCGATTCCAGTAGCTGGCGAGGTGGGTGTCAATTCATGTCACAGGTCTAGCGTTACGGTGGGATTTTTGATCAGGGTCGGTGGGTATAAAGGGTGTAGGAGAAGTGTAGTGGGATGGTGAATGGTACGTTAGGGGTGGGTGTAATTTAGTAGTTACCCAGGAGTTAGACTAGATTTTTAATCTTCTAACTTTTCCTAGCTAACTGTTAACTGCAGCTGAACCCCTGTGGTATCCAAATGAAATGGATGCTTTTCAACGGGTTCGAGGTGCCAGGGAATTACCTATTGGAATCTTCAGTTTCTTGGGCAATTCTTTTAGAGTCAGCTACACCAGGGTTTCCTCAAGGTTCCACATGCAACATCCTCCTATGCTGCAGAAATGACTATCTGGCCATCAGGAAATCCAAACCTTAAATTTAAGGTGTTGGACTGGGATGGACAAGATCAGAAATCACATGACACCAGGTTATAGTCCATCAGGTTTATTTGAAAACACAAGCTTTCGGAGCATAGCCTCTTCGTCAGGTGTGATTTTTGACCTTTAATTGAAGGTATAAAAGCTTAAAATCCACAGGTGAGAGACGGGGGCATAGGCTACTATTTGAATTGACATTACTTTAATGGGGAGATGACTTTGTTATAGGATCACATGATACAGTGACCAACTTTGCTCCCTGTTAAAAATGACAGAGTATCCTCTGAACATCACGTCTAGGTGGCACAAAGAGCAGCAACTAACCCGAGATCATTCTTAAGCATTGAGAGGCAGCTGCCTGTCTGAACATTAAATGTTGATGACATTTAAAAATCCCTTGGGTGTGTACTTGAAGCCATAACCTAAAGGCCTAAGGATCAAGGGCTGGCAAGTGGGAACTGGCTAGATAACTCTTTTCCACTGTGTACAACCGGGTGAAGAGGAGGAATCGGCTCTCCTCCATTGATTGTCTTGCTTGGTCACAGCATTTTTGAAATCTAAACAGGAATCTAATTAACTCCCTGCCTGAGTTCTTCTGTCTCTAGCACCCTTTCAGACAGATCCCCACCACTGCAAGGTGTACAAATGGCTCAATAATGTCCCTATAAACCTCAATCATTCTATGTCTGTCATTATTGATTTCTCTGCTAAAGGAAATTATAAATCCAATCTATTTAGGAGCCTCATAATTTTATACACCTCAATTAAATCTTCCCTTCACCATCTCTGTAGTAGAGAAAAAGAAGTCTTTCTAAACTTTCCTTATAGCTAAGATTCTCAACTTATGGATCTTCATAAATCTCCTCCCCATCCTTTCTTGTGAGAGCGCATCCTTCTTGTAATGCAGATTTGTCAACTGTAATCAGTACTCAAACTATGGCCTAGCTAATGTTTTATCATAATTTCTGTGCTGGGAGCATTTGGTATCAAAAGGAAGATCAAGAATATATAGCTTAAAAAGTGCTAAGTGTCCTTGAGCTGTTAGGTTTTAACCTGAGACCACAGTTATTTAATTATTGATTTGTATTCTTCAAATTAGTGACAGTTGTAGATATATTTGAGTTCTTGGATAACAAATGTCTCTCTGTTTTGCTCCAGTGTTTGCTTTGCTACCAAGAGTCTAAAAGAAATGGTGAGAAAGCGAGTAAGCCTTTCAGTTCTGTTGTTATGAATCACTCATCCTTCTCTCCCCAAAGCAATGGCCTGAAATACAGTTCTTTTATGAAATTCCATGTCTGGCTTCTGATACTGGACAAGCTGTCATGAATCCCACTGACTTTCACCCCAATATCTGCAACTTCAAGAAAGATGTAAATCCAATAAGAGATACATTTGGTTTAGTCATTTTGATGACATGTCAACTTCTGTTCAGACTGGGTCTTGTTAATTGATGGTTTCATCAAACTGGCTCACCCTGTCATCAAGTGATCAGTGGAACCTTCTTAAATCAATATTTCATGCTCTTTAAAAATGCATTTTCATCTATGAAGTGTCTCAAGTATTAAAAATCAAATAATAGAAGTTGAAAATTGATTGCCCATTTTTCCTATTTTTGTAACAATTTTGAGGCAATCAAGATAAAAATAACACACATTCCCCAGGATGTTAGCTAATATGCAGAAATTTGAATACAAACTAATGCTTTAAAGCAGCTCTGTTAACAGTACTTAGTCGAATAGTATATAATAAGAAGCAATACATACAAGATTAAATGTACAAGATTTAGAACAGAGAACGAAAGAAACTTCTTTAACTAGAGAGTTCAAGTAGCGGAATTTAATTTTAGGATTAGTAGGTGAGGCAAAAGCTGCCAACTTTCAAAATCAGATTAGGCAGATGAACAACAGAATTGGAGGTAAGGAACATGAGAACAGGGCGAGTAAATGTGATTGAGATTATATTTTTACGCAAAGGTTAACATAAATATGGTCATGTGTTTTTTCAATGCTTAAGAATTTTCAATATATTAAGAAAGCGTGAAACTAAATTATATTCTGTTTTAAATGATTTCTGCAATGAAGAAAACCATATGACCTAGGTCAGAAGTAAGATCATGGTTTTAATGGTTGTTCTTATGGCTCAAGCTAATGTAAATTGTGAGAATGCTTTGAGGAAGAAGGATTCTTCTTCTCAAACACATAGCTATGTTTTAAATTGGTTTAGTTTTATAACTTAAAGTATGTAACAGATCTATGTGTATTAGTTTTGAATTTTTATTTTGTGCTTTAATGTAGACATTGGCAGTTGTTGTGTAGTCACATGTGGTTCATTGAATCAATAGGATATCGATAGGTTTTGGAGAACATTCAATATATCAGATTGGACGTTTAAGATTATATTAGATCACTAGAGGTTGAAACTACATAGTCAGAGCAGACACCTTGTTTATTTATGCCATACTACCTTGGTAAAGATCGATGGAGTTGGTCGATAAGAGAGAAAACCATTAAAAAAGGAATAATCTTAAAAGGTGATTGGCATGTCAAATAATGAGTCTGAAGACAGTAAGGAATGGAATAATTATGATGATCATTATTGTTAAAGAAATAAATCAGGACACTACGTAGCCAATCCAGAATTGACCAAGAGCTGTTCACATATTGATAAGTCAATTTGAGTTCAGGAAACTCTGATCATATACCATGGGGGCCAGTAGCTAGCAAGGATTAACACATTGTGATTCTCAAGGGTTCAATGCATACAGAAGAAGACCAAAGACAAAAGAAGAACTTAGTCAACAGAACAAAAGGAGATCTGTGCTTAGTCAACTAATGTCATAAACTGTAACCTGAAGAGAATTAATTGAGAACCACTACTTTTATAAAGTTTTGTTTCTTTTGCATTTGTTATGATAATCATAAATCTGCAGAACTTGTGAAAACATACTTGTACCTAGAATGGATCTTGTAAATATTCAGGACTTGTAAACTGTTAGATTGGCCTTCTCTAAACTCAGTCTATCATTATAATTGACTTAAGTCCTACAATTAAAGTTCAAGTGAACCCCTAAATCTTATACTTGAGTCAAATAATCTGTTTCAGTGCTGTAACTTCAATGTATTTCTAACCTGTGATTAAATGAATCATTAGTAGTTTTAAACTTGTTCTGTAATGACTAATTACAGAATAACCCTGCAATGACAGGAACATCTAAAGGAAGGCAATTCTTTTCATTATTGAAAGTATTTTTAAAGAGATCACACTGTACAATTTAAATGACATTAGTTTCAAATACACAACAATACAAATCACAGTGTTGTATATCCTGCATCTGACTTCATTCTGAAATGGTCATTTTGTTTATTTTCTTTTCCTAAAAGTATGCATTTCATAAAGATGGTGTGGTTATTCCATTCATGGAGGTGACAAGGAGCATGGCAAAAAGGGCAAATAATTGGGTGAACTAAACACAGTGAATGCTGGAGAAACTTGACAGGTCTGGCATCATCTGTGAAGAGAAGAAACAGAGTTAACATTTTGAGTCTGAAATGACTCTTCACATCCTGAAAAAGCTTTACCCTGAGGACACAGAACATTGAATCTTGGCCATAATAATAGCATTTTTCTTTAGTAAGTTGTTGGCATAACTGACAAAGCCCATCCTAAATGCCCTTGAATTGATTGGCTTACTGCAGCATTTCAGAGGGCTGTCAAGAACCAACTACGTTGTAGTTGAGTTACAAACAGGCCAGACCAAGAAAGGACACCAGATTTCCTTCCCTAAAGAATCTGAGTCAACTAGATGGGTTTTTGCAACAAAAAATGGAAGTTGTCATGGTCACCATCACCAAAGCTAACTTCATATTCCAGATTTATTAATTGAATTTAAATTTCACTAGCCACCATGGTGAGATTTGAATCCCTATCCCCAGAACATTAACCTGGGCTTTTGGATTACTAGTCAAATGACATTATCACTACACCACTATCTCTATCTACTCACAGCTTATGTAAGAAAATAAAAATACATCTCCCTCCTCCTACCATTAATTTTAATTTATGCCAGTCTGTCTGACATCACAATGGGATTATTGTATCACTTCAATCAAGCTAAACTATATTTGATCATTTATTGAGGGTTATCCTCCAACAGGTCAAAAATTGGATTAATCAGTTGAGGTATGATATTTCATTCTTTCATGCATTAAAGTTGAATTCACAAGTACTCCAATCATGTCAGGGCTCAATATTAAATGCAATGTTAAATTAAGTTAATGACCAGAACATCATGACTCTTGGATGAAAATAGGTGAAACTTTGTGGCCCATGTGTCTTTAGTATTTTTGTATTCTGTCTTAATTTAATATTTTGTTAATTCAATGCACTAAATTCCAGGTACAAAATAGTAAACTTAATGTGAGGACTTTATGAAGAGAAAAGAAACAACTTAGGGGGACTTCTGTGGTAAAACTTCATTCACTTGACAAATGTCAGGTGTAACTTGTTCAATATGCATTTTCTCTTTCTATCTCTGCACCCATATCTTCCCATATGAGTTGTATGAATTTGTGATGATCAGCTAATAACAAACCACTATAAACACTGATGAATAGCTACAATCCTCAAGATATTATAGAACACAGATTAATTGTCAACAGTTCTGACAGCATCGGTGGAAAGAGAAACAGAGTTAATGTTTCAAGTCCAGTTTCACTTCTCTTCACAGATGCTGCCATACCTGTTGAGCTTCTCCAGCACTACTTGTTTTTATTTCAGATTTCCAGCATCCTCAATATTTCGCCTTTATAGTTGATGAGTTTTTATTTGGTGAGATCAGCTGAAGTAAGCATCTTTAATTGCACTAACATTAATATACCGTGAATTATTAGTCTGGGAAGCAAGGTTTATTCATTCATTGTCTTATGATTTTCTATAGAATCTATCCTTATGGATGAAAGCTAATACAGAGGATTGTGCAGAAAGATTTCAGAGGGGAGAAGGAAAGCTTAATAGGTCATGTCCAAGAACAGCAGAGGAGAAATTTGTTGGAATTAGCTCTTTTTATGCCCAGCCCAATTTAGAATTGAACTGCAATGTTGCAATCTCACCATTTCATCACCTGTGATGAATCATTTGGATGCGATATAACAAAAGTTGATATTTAGAAATTGAGAACACAATTGATAGTTGTGGTCGATACAGAAACTGTGCTTCATATAACATCTTCATTAAAACCTAGCTTTGTCATTTTCCTAGCCTGTTTATGTTAAAATGGACGATATGGAATTTTGCAGGCATCCTATTGCAAATATGTGCCCTCCTGGGTGAGTATTTTATATTATTTTGATAGATTTCCAAGTTTTCAAAAAAAAACTGCATTGTGTAAAGTACGCAAAAACATGTTTGATTGCATTTGAATTTTGAAAATGATAAACAGGTATTAGAATAGCTTGAGGCTCCTTTCACTTCAGGAACTTGGATGGATGGTCTTTAAGCCTTTAAAGTGCAAATGTTGGAAAAGTTTTGGTAACCTTGAGGAAGTTCATAAGAGGTGTAGGCTCATAAAATGATTTTATGATCTCTTTTCAGGTAGGTATAAGATGGATAGCACAGTAATGAAAAATGGATGCAATTGATCACCTTTTACTGAGATTTGAATTGGAGGTATATTTGGCATGACCGTGGTGGAAATGAATGACAAAATTAGACACTCTATGCTCCTGTCCAAACTCAATTTTCTTCCACCTACCAAGCGTCTATTTCTCTGACTTCCAAAACGCAGTGCTTCTGGGAAATAGGTTTGGAAAGGCAAATCAGTGCAGGACTTATACACTTAATGGTAAGGTCCTGGGGAGTGTTGCTGAACAAAGAGACCTTGGAGTTCTTTGAAAGTGGAGTCCCAGGTAGACAGGATAGTGAACAAGTGTTTGGTATGCTTGCCTTTATTGTTCAGTGCATTGAGTATAGGAGTTGGGAGGACATGTTGTGACTGTACAGGACAGTGGTAAGGCCACTTTTGGAATACTGCATGCAGTTCTGGTCTCCCTGCTATAAGAAGGATGAAGTGAAACTGGAGAAAGTTCATAAAAGATTTACAAGGATGTTGCCAGGAAGGTTTGAGCTATAGGGAGAGGCTGAATAGGCTGGGGCTATCTTCCCTGGACTCAGGGATGACCTTACAGAGTTTTATAGAATCATGAGGGGGAATGGAGAGTGTGAATAGCCAAGGTCTTTTCCCTGGGTTGGGGAAGTCCAAAACTAGAGGGCATAGGTTTAAGGTGAGACGGGAAAGATTTAAAAGGGACCTAAGGGGCAACGTTTTCACGCAGAGGGTGGTGTATGTATGGAATGAGCTGACAGAGGAAGTGGTGGAGGCTGGTACAATAACAACATTTAAAAGGCATCTGGATGAATAGGAAGGGTTTAAGAGGATGTTGGCCAAATTCTGGCAAATGGCACTAGAATAATTTAGGATTTCTGGTTGGCATGGACAAGTTGGACCGAAGGCTCTGTTTCCATGCTGTACAGCTCTATGTCTCTATGGCTGTATGACTAGCTGCCCCACTCTCCTATCAACTAGTGCTTTTCTTTAACAATCTCAATGGCTAGAAGAGGAAGAGTATTGGTTGTGTTAATAGTAGCTTTTAAAAACAAAATCAAGTATGTAAAATCATACTGAAGCAGGACCAGAATCTATAGGCTTACATTGGAAGTTAAATGATTGATCTCCAGGTTAAATATTGTAAAATAAAACAAAGAACTGTGGAAGCTGGAAATCTGAAACAAAAACAGAAATTGCTGGAGAAACTGAAGAATGGTCACTGAATGTGAACTGTCAACTCTGCTTTCTCTCCACGGATGCTGCCAGACCTGCTGATTTTCTCCAGCAATTTTTGTTTTTATAACATATTGTAAATTCTAGTTTGGATTCTAGTAGGAGATCTTCCCCAGTGCTTTGAATTTCATTAAATCAACATTAAAAACACTTTGAAATTATGTAAAAGATACATAAGAAAACATTTCTGAAAGGTTACACAGTTTAAAAGGGAAAACCTACACTGAATGGAATAAGAAACTACAAAATATAATGCGATAAAATCTGGTTGTTTAATAAACATTACAGGGAACAATATGGTAGACCTACTGAACAAGCAAATCATTCTCAGGCATATATGAATACTCAATCCAATTTATGCTGTATTCCAACATCAACTGGATCACAGAAGTTGGTTCCACTGGATGTGTATGGCAGACCAAATTTCGATCGTTGGACGACAACATACCATGATGCCTACAACACATACCACGATCCACAGGATGTAAGTTGAAATCATCTTTTTGCTGACAATAGGTTAAACATAAGACATTGAAATTTTGTGATCAGCTACACATTTTTAAAAAGGTGGGTAAATAAAAGAGAATTTTGCCTTCTCCTTTTCTTACCTCAATAGGACACTCTGTACTTGACAAATGTTGACAACAAAGGAAATAGGAACAAGATAAGGCCATTTATCTCCTCACGCTTGTTCAATTAGATCATGGCTGCTCTGTTACTTGACTCTACATACCCATGTTTGCACCGTATTCCTTGAAACCTTGGGTTAACGACAATATTCATTGCAGATTTAGAATTAACAATTGATGTAGCATCAATTACTGTAGTAAAAATAGAGGTCCAAATTTCTCTTATGCTTTTCATATAGAAGCGTTTCCTAACTTTACTACTGAAATGCATGACAAACAATTTTTTTTGCCTCTATCTCTTCACAAATAGAGAGGTAGTTTCTCTTCGCCTACTCCATCTGTTCTCACTTTACATCTTGAAACTTGGAAAATAAAATTTATCTTTCTAAAGTCCAGGTGCTAAGGCAAGAATTTTCGTAATCCCACTTAGTACTTTCACCATGGAGTCTTGGTATCATTTCGTAAATCCGTACTTCACTCACATTAAGGTCATTATATCTGTTTGAATCAGTGGAGACCATTCTGTTCACAGTTCTCAAGGGGTGGTTAAAACAGACTATTATATAGCTGCAGTAAAACTTCTAACCCTATGTATTTTAGACCTATTGATAAAAGGCTAGCATTCCATTAAACCACTTAATTATTTTCTGCACCCATCTATGACAGTTTAATGATTTTCAAAATATTATTCCAAGGATATTGTTCATATTTCTTTGTTTTATACTGTTTATTTACTGCTTTAATCTTTAGTCTCTTTACCCATTAATCTTGGCTGGTCCTAACCTCATATCCATGTAAATAGCTTTGCTTAAGTTTAAGATTCTTGTATGTAATTGGAAAATGTCACTTCCAAACTCATCATGGAATTCAGCAATATTATGATCATTATTTCCCAGTGAATCTTCTACTATGATATTCCTAACGAACCTTGACTTAGTGCATAATACTAGATCTAAGTTGGCTTTATTCCTAGTTAGTTCCACTTTGTCTTGCTCCAGGAAGTTGTCATGAAAACATTTCAACAAACCTATCTTTTAAATCATCTTTGCCAATATCCTCAAGCAACTGTCTGTGTGAAGTTTGCACATTCTCCTCATGTCTGCGTGGCTTTCCTTGGAGTGCTCCCGTTTCTTCCTACAGTCCAAACATGTGCAGGTCAGGTAGACTGGCCATACTAAATTGCCCCATAGTGTCCCAGCATGTGCAGACATGGTAAATACAGGTAGGGTAAAGGGGTGGGTCTGGGTGGGATGTTCTTCAGAGGGTCGGTGTAGACTTGAGCCAAATGGCTGTTTCCACACTGCAGGGATTGTATGATTTTATGAGCATGATAGTCCGAGTCTTTTTGAAGATTAAATCCTCCCACTCCCACAAATATCACATTGTTTTTGTGACAAACTGTTATTTTGTTATAAGTACTATTGGGGGTTTATGCAGTGCCATTAATATTTTCTGACCCTTGCTATTCCAAAAAACTACCCAGAGTAATTCTACTTCACAACCTCAGAAGCCAGATACCTTCTCACTACTATTCTCATGTACTTTCCCATTTATCTCAATTTGTCCTACAAGATAGTTGATCTTATTGCAGATGGTTTGAGATTCAGATAAAAAAACTTTTAGTTTAATTTTTAAACAATGATACTCTGCATCAACCATAATCGCTGTTCTATAACTAACATTAAAATTCTGTCCCACTATGCATGGCTTTACCTAGTTCCTTTGCATTGATCCTTTTTTCTTTTTTCTGAATTCCACTTCACCAAAACTCTATGCTGCCACCTCTGTTAGTTTAAAGCCCTGTCACAACCCTTGTCATATTAGTCCTAGCCTGGTTTAAATACAGCCCATTCCAACTAAGTAGCTGTCTTCTTCTAAGTACTGATGTCAGAACCCATGAATCAAAACCCCTCCTTTCCATACAACTGTTTGAACCACATGTATAATTCTCTAAACTAGACAAAACACTGTGGATGCTGGAAATTTGAAACAAAAACTGAAGAAATTATGCAGGTCTGACAGCATTGTAGAGAGAAGAACAGTGCTAATATTTTGAGTCCAGTTCAGCATTTTTTGTTTTTGTATAAATCCCTAATCAGCATTACTCTATACCAATTGGCCTGTGGCTCTGACAACCTTCTGGAGATGATTACCTTCCATCTTCTTTGTCTTAGTTTGCATCTTAACTCCTCAAGCTCTATTAGGATAGTGTGTAGTTCTTGGTTCCCAACTGGATCCAACCCCTCCTAGTTCAAGTTCCTTTCAGCCAAGAGGAGATGTCCTTAATCCTAGCACTGGGCAGGTAACTCAACATTTGGAGCTCCTGGCTGCAGATAAAGAGAACAGGATCTACTCCTCTGGTTGTACTGTCTTTTATCACAATGACATTCCTTTTTGCTCATCTGACTTGAATGGCATCTGCATCCTGATACCATGGTCAGTTAATTCATTCACGCTGCAGTCCTTCTCCACATAAATGGCAAACAGCTCAAGGATCAAAATCAAAGGCTTTGGCTCCTCCATCATTACATGCAGGTTCTCTATGTCTACCCGACATGCAGTCACATCATCCCATCCCTGACCACTCAACAATTCTAAACTTTTGCCTAACCTAAGGGGTGTGACTGCTTCCTGGAAGAAAGCATTCAGGTAATTTTCCCCCTCCCTGGTGTCACACAATGCCTACTACTCAGACTCCAACTTATCAAATCTGTGGTAAAATTGTGCAAACTGCAGACACTCACAGCTTACATGTTTATCTGGGATGACAGTGTATTCAACAGATTGCCACAGATACGGCCCACCACCATCTCTGCAACTGTCTAACCTCATTTGTTTCATTAGCTATTAATCTATACAAATAAAATAATAGAAGGTTATTACTCTCTTAGCTTGGTAACAAAATAAGAACACTCAGCTGCTACAGGATGCTTAAAGGAAGAAGTAAAAGGAGCATTTTATTGCTTCTGCACCAAATTCTCAAATTAATACTTGGTCCCCATTATACTCAAAGTTTCCTTTCTGTGTGTCCCCTTGCTTAGTGTGGTTTGCAAACCTGTTGACATCTATCAACACTGGCAAATTAGTTTCAGAGATAGTAGGAACTGCAGATGCTGGAGAATCTGAGATAACAAGGTGTAGAGCTGGATGAACACAGCAGGCCAAGC